GAGGCGATCAATATTCCTATTTTCTAATTCTAAAGGCGAAGCTTAATTTGTGTTTAAATATTCATTTCGAATAGGGATATTGTTTTGGGTATTTAAATACAATTTCTTGTGAGGCACTTGAGAGAGGTTGCGAGATGACATTAGAGCCTTGATTAATGAATTGAACGTAATTGATTAGCGATTATAGAATAGGATGAACATAGGAATAATAAAGCGAAATCAAGTCTCTAGACCATTTGTGTATAGATACTTTATTTTTATTCTTATATTTATTTTGCTTTTATTCTCAATTATCATCTTATTAGGTTGCCTAGATAAAGTTAAGTTACAATAATCACGGTACTTAACAGCAATTCTAAACCCAATCCCTGTGGAGACGATACTCACTCACCCTATACTCAAAACTTGACACCGTACGCTTGCGGAAATTTATTATACAAAAATATTAAGCATCAAGTTTTTGGCGCCGTTGCCCGAGACTAAAAACGGGTTTGATTAAACACTCAAATTTTCCACAAACACCAACGCATGCACGATGTGGAATTTTTTTTTGGAGAAAAAAATTTTCCTTTCTCTCTATAATGTAATTTTCGGCCATCCCCAAAAATTAGGTTAAAAAATTGTCACGCGTAATTTTTCATCATCCCTTATTTATAGAGTAGAAGTCCAACTTCTAGAAGGAATCAAATCTCTCTTTCTGTTTGAATTTTGAACAAAAATTCTCCTCTATCCTTATCTCTTGTGGCCAGCCATCTCTTAGGGTTTTTACCCTGTGTGTGGCGCCAATCTCAGATAGGGAAGGAAAAGAAAATCATCATTTATCCTGTAGTCCAATTTTAATTCAAATTCAAATTTGAATTTAAGTCAAACTTAAATTAATTTGAATTCTAAATTGAACAACTTATCAAATAAGTTCAAAAGGATAAATTTAAATTATGTTCACAATTCAAATTCAAATTTAAATAATCACATTATTATTTAAATAATAATTAATTCTTAATTAATTATTTTTTTTAAGTATTTAATTTTAGAATTCCGTAATTCTAAAATTCCCATTTTGCCTTCTGTGTCTGGTAGAATTACTAGGACGACGCGGGGACTAATGGACCTATAATCCCGAGCTCCAATAAAATTAATAATCAATTAAACACTTTAATTAATTAATTAATTCTATTAATTC